ATCTTACCTTATTCCTGTAGTCTTTGTGTCTGTTACTTATTGATTATCTATTCTATCTTGCCTTATACCTGTAACCTATATCTATGACTTATTGATTATATTGATCAGTTCACTCCGTAACACCAAATGAGGGTTTGTAGCAAAGTTTAGAGTATTAGTGTGATGACGTAGTTTTTTTTTTTTTTTTTTTTTTTTTAAGAGAGAGAGAGAGATAATTTTTTTTTAATATTTATTTTTTAGTTTTTCGGCGGACACAACATTTTTGTATGTGGTGCTGAGGATCGAACCCGGGCAGCACGCATGCCAGGCGAGTGCGCTACCGCTTGAGCCACATCCCCAGTCCGACATAGTTTCTTAAGGCTTCTTGCTTGTTTCATAAAAAGTTTCCATTATTATGTGTCTTAATCTTTTTGTCTCCAGCTTTTAGTTGGTTATGTTCAGAGGGGAAAAAATATCAAAGTAGTCTGAGAATCAGGGGAGGAGTTTGATTGTAGGCCTTTTTTGATAGAATAATATGTAAATTTGCTGTTTCAAGACTTTGTATCAAGAAGAACAGTTATTATGGTTTAGATGTGTTGTTCCCCCAAAAGCTCATGTGTAAGACAATGCAAGAAAGTTCAGAGGAGAAATGATGGGGTTGTAAGGGTCTTAACTCAATCAGTAAATTAATCCCCTGTTAGGGATTAATTGAATGGTAACTGAAATGTTAGGGTGTGACTGGAGGAGGTGAGAATTGGGGCATGGTTGGGAGTATATATTTGTATCTGGCCAGTGGAGTCATTCTTTTTTTACTTTGTAATCATCATGTGAGCCACTTCCCTCTGTCACACTTTTCCACCATGATGTTGTCTTAACTTAAGCCCCAAGGAATGGAGCCAGCCTTCTATGGACTAAAACCTCTGAAACTGTGAGCCCTCAAATAAACTTTTTCTCCTCTACACTTGTTCTGGTTGGATCATTTAGTCACAGCAGTTGAAAAGCTGACTAAAACAGCAATCTAATGTAATATTTGTAAGGATTCCAGAGCATTATAGAGTGCACATTATAGAGTGCACATATTCTGTAAATGGGTCACAAAAGGGTTAAAATATGCTAAGTTAGTGTCGTAGTGTTATAATAGATCCTTAATTTGATGCTTCTTTTTATTTTAGTAAATTTATGTTTTGTGTGGTGTTTACTGCTTTTGAGGGGAGCTGTATTAGGACATGATATGCTGGATGCCTGGTAGTAATGAACCAGTGTGAATAACAAAGCAGACCCTGTCTCCCTAGCGTGACAGCTAGAACACCAGTGAAGCACCAGGGGTCAAAGCTCACTCTGATTCTTATACTTTTGAGTTTTGTTTTGTTTGTTTGTGTTATTGTTTTAATTTTTGGAGAAGAGACAGTTTACATGAAGGAATATTCTTGCCCATGGATTTGATGCCAGGTATCTAGAGCCTTGGGATTCCGGGTGACCTGCATAGTGATCCTCAGCTATGTGACCTCCACAGAGTGCACAGAGTGTCTCCACTGGGGAAGGTACTTTCCCTTTCATTGAAGGAAGTGTTCCTTTCTCTGTTTTATACATCTCTTATTAGACTGCATCCCTTTACCCAGTATAAACACTCTGCTTTCTTTTGAATAGTAGGTCTGTGGGTCAGTGGCTTGGTTCATTTTGTTCTCTCCAGCCTTGAAGATTCTTCCCCAACATGTGTAGACATCCACTCATGTTCCTGGTCTGGCCTGGATGCCATCTGATTCATGAAGGCTCCAAATACCCTTCCCATTTTATCCCAGGGCACAGGACTTTTTATTCCTCCCATTGTCCTTCCTTTTTTCTCCTTTATGGGTTAGTGAATCCTATCTAATTCTGTACCCCTTGCTACATTGTATGCCCATAGAAATTGGGAATTATTCCCTTGAAGATATAAGACCATATATTTTATATGATACTTTGTTCTCACTTCAAGTATGATACTTTTTACTCATTTTGTTCCAGTGCTTTGTGGATGATATTTGGCATGTGGACCTATAACCTATAATTTCCTTCCTAAGACCAGCTGATTCCCTCAGTTAGAACTTATAGGTTAAAGTGGGGTGCATGTAGGTTACAGTGGGGTGCGGTGGTGCATGCCTGTAATCCCAGTGGCTCCAGAGGCTGAGGCAGGAGGATCACAATTTTAAAGCCAGCCTCAGCAATTTAGCAAAGCCTTAAGCAACTCAGTGAGACCCTATCTCTAATTAAAAAGTATAGAAAAAGGGCTGGGGATGTGGCTTAGTGGTTAAGTGCTCCTGGGTTCAATTCCAGGTACCCCCACCCCCCAAAAAAGTAAAGGTTAAAGCTTTCAAGTTATTTTTATTCACATTATAAGGATTTAACCTGGTCATCTTATGCTAATTGGAAGCTCTGATTGGCAGCTTTAAATTTCTTGATTAAAAATCTAAGTTTGGGGCAGTCTTTGAATGATAAAGGAGATTTTGGTAAAAAGATTGGAAACTGTTCTACTTGGTACTTAGTGAAAATATTTTGAATTATTGTATATGCAGGTTATTGTCATTTCTTTTTAAAATATATTTTTAGTTGTAGATGGATACATTATCTTTATTGTACTTATTTACTTTTATGTGGTGCTGAGGATCTAACCCAGTGCCTCACATGTGCTAGGCAAGTACTCTGCAACACCCAGCCCTGTCATTTCCTTACATTAATTCACAAGTTACCTGTCAAATAACAAATTTTTCAATTGAAAAAGTAAACTAGTCTTAAAAATCAGGTTATAAATATCAGCATTAGAACTCTTTAATATCTAAATCATTGGAAAACATGTAGCAAAAAAAGATGATAATTAATTAATATTAACATATCTACAAAGTTTAAAAACAGTTCTGGAAATAATAAAAATGAAAAATAATTCTTAAAGCAAAGAATAAATAAATGTTCTCCACTATTTTATTACTGTTTTCAATTATACTTCTCATAAAATTTATAATTTTTAGGGTTTACAGCAGTCTTTTTTAAATGCTGTGTAATTTTCACATTTGCATATGAAAATTAAGTATTGGATTCAATAAATGCTTTGAAATTTTATTTTTCTTTGTTCTAGATTGGGCTCCCCAGAAAGTTGACTCTGTGGGAGATTCTTACACAGGTGGCTTAGTGGGGAGAATTAATTTGGAACAACCTTTGGAAAGTTGAGAGAGCCACTGGAGGTGGATGAGGGACAAAGCTGAGCTGCAGTAATGCTGTTACAACAGAACACTCAGAAGACTTCAGGGAGACTCAGCAGCAATGCTCCTTGGGGATGTCCCAGATGAGCCAAGGAGTTCAGGCACCGTATCTCTCCACTGCATCATTGGATGCTGGGTAGCCCCTAAGAGGGCTGTCACTGGAAGCTTGTAGGATCCCTTAAGACCCTGGGGAGGGCCCACCTCAGTCCTGAAAAGGCACTATGGGTGGAGGACTGGGCTGTATTGTGCAGTGTCCACTTTCTCAAAGAGTTACCTATTACAAAAGCTCTTTACAGGTACTGCATCCTCTTTCCTTTTCTTTTACTTCCCTCTTTTTTATTGCTTATCTTGCAGTATGCAAATCTAAAAACCTGAGACTGTTTGAGACGGGAAACTGAATAGAGGGTGAGAAAATACTCAAGTGCTTGCTGTCTGCATATGGGCTGAAGGATATGCTCTGGACTCTTCTTGCTTTGATTTGGATTTCAAAGAGATGCCCTTGCTCATCATTGTTATAAGATCATTGTCATTGTTTTAATCAGCTTTTTCACTGTTGTTACCAAAAGACCTGACAAGAACTATTTCAGAGGAGGAAAAGTTTATTTTGGTTTCAGACCATTGATGACTAGCTCAGTTGGTCTGGGCTGGAGGGAAGTGAAACATCATGGCAGAAAGATGTGGCAGAGGAAAGCAGCTGAGGACATGCCACCTGGAAGCAGAGAGAGAGAAACTGCCTTCACCACAGACAAAATATGCATGCCCCCTGGAAAAAAATAAGCACGCCCCCTGGAACCGTGTCCTCCAGCTACACCCTACCAATTTACAGTCACCATGAAGTTAATCTGTATTAGAGGATTAATACACACATTAGATTAAGACTTTCATAACCCAATCATTATACCTCTAAGCTTTCTTGCATTGTCTCACATGAGCTTCTGAGGGACACCTAATATCAAAACCATAACAGTCATCTAGAGAAATCTAGGTGTGAGATAAAACTACTATATAGGAAATGCAGTTTGTAACTTACAGAAAACTGATTAATGGTGGGGATGGCAGGACTTGTAAAATTTAATTGTTAATATTGCCCTTTATAAATGGACTATTATAAATGCTAATTTTTCTCTTATTTGCAGTGCCATATCATTGTAAAAATACTTGTTAATTTTTGTTCATTAGTGTTGAAAAATAATGTTGAAAGATGTTTGACTAAAGTGCCTCATTCAAGAGATGGGAGAAGTTAGATTTATATGACCAAAATTATAAAATATTAAAATATGTGTATGTATACATGTGCAAATGTACATTAGAGTAGATATTTAACTTAATATTTAGGCAAGTTCAGCATATTTATGTAAATATTCAATTTAAAATTACTTTTCAAACATTTTAAACTTAGCCAGTATTGATATGCCTATAATTTTCTTCTGGTACTACTGTCACATGTCTTTTAGTTTATATGGTCTAGTATTATGCTACAAGTATTGTTTTCTCATGTTGCTTTACTTAAATCAAAAGTGCAATAACTATTTGCAGGATTGTACATTTTTTCTTCCTCTTGTCTTCCCGTAAGCTTGACTCTAATGATTATTTTCATGCTCTCTCTTTATTTACAGCTTTTCTTCTTGTTACCCCACTTTCATCCTCTTATCTGTGACCTTTCCAGGTAGTTTAGGAAGTCTAATCCTCAGGTGCCTGTAAACAGGGAAGCAACAGTCTTTATACAATAAATACTGTGAAATAGCTTTGTTACAGTTGTTGATTTTCTCCTGTCTTTGTCTCTGTTTTCAGGCTATCCTGACAACAGCTCTGGCTCTCAATGTGAAAATCCCCTGGGAGGGTTTCAGGGCTGCCTGAAGCTTATCTCCATTGGCAGCACAGTGGTGGATCCCATCTCAATACAGCAGGGGGCGCTGGGAAACTTCAGCGACCTTCAGATAGACTCCTGTGGCATCACAGACAGGTAGGGGCCATCCTAGATCATTATAGCACACCTGTTTCAGTTTTTTTTTTTCTTTCTTTTAATTAAAAACAGGCACAACTGTAAAAACACACTTTTTTCATGTCTTTCATGACAGCAGGCTTACCTCTTAAAGATTCCACAACCTTCCACTGGCTAGGGATTGAGTCTTCAACACTTAGACCTTTAGGGAATATTTAAGATCCAAACTGTAACACATTGAAAATAAGAGAACAACATCTTTGGTTTTAAACAGTTGTTCCTTTCAAACAGTGTTGTCTTGGAAGATACACTCATGGATTTTCCTTTCATATACCTGTAAATCACTTAAAGTCTTACAGAGTATTACTGATGCTTGTAATCACTGATGTGAATAAATACTGACAAGAATAGATATTCTTAAAAATTGTCCCATTACAGAAAACAGATTAGACTATTCTAAAAAGATAGTGGATCAGTGAGGGCCAGTAAATCAAAGTCATATGTGGTTAGCTCCCTTTTCTATAGGGAAAATGAGAAGTAAATCTTGTTTCAAGAAAGGTTGATGCTTCAGGGAATTTTAGCAATGTTGTAAGCAAAATAAAGAAAGAGATTCCCCAGTTGCCCCAGAGCTAAGCACTGCAGTAGTTCAATGAAGATGATAAGAAAAGCAAAGGTTTATCACTATAGTATAATAAAATTGTTAAGCATTGTAATTTTATTCAAGTTTTCTTCTTTACCATATTATCTAACTTTTAAATCATTTTGGCTAAAAGGATAAGCTTAGCCATATAGACTAAATTTTTTTTTCCTGTACCAGATATACCCAGTTTAATGCCTTTTCTGAAGCAGGGTGTGCAAAAGGTGTATATTGAATACATAAACAAATTCCTTAAATCTTTCCACATCCATGCCTCTGAATCTCTTGAAATAGCTATGTAAAATACTTTGTACAAGAAGTTTACTCTAAATTTATCACTAATTGAAATTTCATGTCATAGCCAATAAACTTTAAGTCACAATTGCAATTTGGCAATGTGTTCATAAAGACCATATTTCTCCAGTATGTGAAATATTTTCTCATATTTTTTAAATGCAAATGTTTATGTTGTCATGTTCACAGTTTATTCTTTTGTAGTGAAATCAAAGAGACAAATAATTTTAGTCAGAAACCTACAATCCTGATTTTCAGAATATAGTTTTCTTGGGGTGTGGGGGAGATGGCAAAGAAACTGCCATCATTCATAAGGAGTAACTGCAGCCAGCTCTGGTGCCCAAGTCAGGAGAGGATCCAGACATCAAATCATGGGGTGCTGATTTCCTTTAAGAATCCATGTCACTTACTTTATTAGTCCAAGGATTGCTACAGAGCATGGATTTTATGAAGTGCATTTCCTTGTTCAACATATAAATATTCTGGCAATGATGGACAATAATTAAGAAGAGAATTAAATGAACAGAAACAACAACATCCGCTATTGTTGTAAAGACATAAAATAACACTGACATTGGTATCTTTAGGATAGAGCTCCTACCCAGGGTGACAACTGTCCAGTGGGCTAGAGGTCAAAGATTGGAAGTTATATTTCACTGGCAGTTGCCTAAGTTATCAGTATAATTGTGGAACTCACAGGAAGTTGTTTTAGTATAGCCAGAATTACCTTATAAAGTGTGGTGAATTCTCAATATTTGTCTTATGTAAAGAATCTGAGCCAGGCACGGTGATGCACACCTGTAATCCCAGTGGCTCAGGAGGCTGAGGCAGGAGGATCAAAAATTTAAAGTTAGTGAGGCTCTGAGCAACTTAGACTATGCCTCAAAAAAAAAAAAAAATTAAAAGTTGGGGCTGGGGATGTGGCTCAATGGTTAAGCATTCCTGGGTTTAATACCTGATATAATATATGTATATATATTTATGAGTATACATGAGCATATGTATAAATGTCACCAAAATGGGAAGATTTTTCCATATCACACTTAAAAGTCCTTAGAAGTGTATACGTATGTATGTACCTTTCTTTAGAGATTTCTAGAATATTAGAGAATCTTCTTTAAGTAAAAATTGAGTTAATGGCTATTAAGTTGTTATGAAAATAGCCAAGAGTACTTTGTATGGTAATATTGTCACTAATTGTAAGTTTTTATGGTTCTGATGGTTTAATGTCTAAAAATATGCCCTCATTCTAATAAGAAAAACATTGGTTTTTCTCTTATTCTTTAGGCCATACCTATTAACTACATGTCCAATACACCATAAAAAATAGATTCGTTTAAAAACAGGACAAAACAAACATCCCCAACCCCAGGCTTTCACCAGCCCTCTGCACTGCACCAAAACATCTACCCAGACCACTTCTCTGCCTGCCAAGAACATTCATATTTGCTCATATACAGTCATAATAATCAGGGGATTTTATAACATATCCATCTGGCAAAGGAATTAATAATTACTGATATATGGACTATTCCTGGCTCAAATGACAAAAAAGATTATGAAAAGATGTTTATAATCTGACAGGAACGTAAATACCCTTCCTGAGCCAAATCAGGATGCATCTACATGGAGTGATCTGTCTTCTGGTGGTTCCAAGAGATGCTTTATGGGGAAAATGGCCAGTTGCTTTGGCATGCAAGTGTGTTAACTTTGTGTTAGCTTTCCTACCCACAAAGAGGAAGAAAAATTTATTTGTTCTCATGATATTAGAGATCTTGGTCCATGGTTGGCCAACTCTGTTGCTCTGACCCTGAGGTAAGGCAGAACATCGCGGTGGAAGATCAGGGCAGAAGAAAGCTGCTGAGCACATGCTGAGACAGAGGGAGAGAGAAGGGAAGAGTCCCAGGATATATATTGTGCAAGGTCATGTTCCCAGTGACCTACTTCCTCCAGCTAGGTCTCACTCCATTCAGTCCATTCAGATATCAGTGGGTTAATCCAGTGATGAGAGCAGAGCCCTAATCATTGCCTAAAAGCCCCACCTCTGAACCTTGCTGTATTAGGGACCATGCTTCCTATACATGAAATTTTGGGGACATTCCATATTTGAACCATAATAGGCTTCAAGGATGATAGTAGTGGAAATGGGAAATTGTATATTATACCAATTGTGTTTTGGATATTAGGATTTCAATTTCCTCTAACTCTGGTCACAGTGTTTTTTCTTATCTGTCGGTGGGACCATCATTGCCACCTCTTCCCATCTGCATTGTCTCAGGCTGAGTATTCATCTTCTCCATGCCAACTCCAATAGCACATATTGTACATTTTATTTTTAAACAAAAAATTGAAAATTACTACAAACTTAGAGTTCTTTATTACTTTTTAAAAAATTGTGTTCCAGAACACTTTAAGGTGAAATATAATATTATTATATTATTGTTATAATATTATAATATTGTTATAATATTATTATATTATATATTATATTATATTATTGTTAAATTATTAACAATAATTTTCAAACTATTAAAAAGTGTGGAATGTACAGAGTTTGAAAATACCAGAAAGGAAAACAATGAACTGTTTTGTTTTTTCAAATTGATGGTAAAGGGGCCTGACTCTGCCCTAGTCAGGCCACCCCCATGGGTTCTGAAGTGCAATGTTTGAGCTACCAGCACCCTGAAGAAGTTGTGCCTTGATACAGCTTAGGAATTGACATACCAGGGTCCAGGGACTGCTGCTTGCTTTTGTTAATAATGTTTAATTGAGACACAGCCATACCAGTTCATTTGCATAATGTCTATATTCACTTTCTCCTAATAATTGCAGAGCTGTGTGGTTTTGGCAGAGACTATGTGGCCTACAGGCCTACAATATTTAGTATTTTTCCCTTTATAGAAAATTATGCCAATCCATTCTATAGTAAATAGGATGAAATGAAAGTTGGTGGGGAGTGGGAGGTTCTCTGGCACTATGTGGAGAGCTGTCTCATTTCTGTTGGGTCAAGACATGCTGTTCAAGGAAAAGGAAGAGATGCCTGAATGGGGCAGAAGGTAGGTAAGTCAATTCAGTTGGAGGCAGGCAGTAGAAGTAACAGCCTTGTCCAAGTCCCCAGTGCTAGGGGGAGTCTGACCCCTGTGTGGATGGCTGGTGTAGAAGTTCTGTGTTGAGGAGATCAGTGGGTGTTGGAGATGGGGCTACCTCTCCAGTCATGGGATACATCAGGCTAGAGGCCTGGGTGCTAACTTGAAGGCTTAAATATTCATCTGAGATGCCCTGGGAAATTGCTAAAGGACTTGAAGTTAAGAAGTCACTTGTGTGTGTGTGTGTGTGTGTGTGTGTGTGTGTGTGTGTGTGTGTATAAGCAAGACTTTGAGCACAGAGTCTTGACACATGACCTGGGTGCAGAAAACAGAGAGACAGTGTATGATTGGAGGCCAGGAAACCTGGTAAGACGCTTCTGCAACTTCTCTCAAGTGAAAAATAAGGATAAGATAAACTAGGGAACCAGAAAATATGAATGATTTACAAACTCTTTGGAGAGCAGAATCACAAGTTGACTTGCTGCAAGCCTTTGGGGTAATGGCAAGGGAACAGTCAAGGCTAATCCCACATAGAGAGCTGGTTAAAGGCTAGTGCCATTCAGTAGAATGATGATGTGGGAGAAGCAGGATATTAGGAGGGGCAGGACCCAGAGGTTCAGCTATTAAATCTTGATATAGTGGGAGGACTACAGAAGCAAACAACCTTAAAGTTGAGAAGAGACTGAGACGTGTCACCTACAGGAGTTTTCACCTAAAAGCATAGATGTATTTTTTAGCTTATCATTTGAGAGAAGATGATCCTGCTTCTACCCAGTCATTTGCAAACAAGACCTCTCTCTGCCTATTCACGAAATGGCTCATTGGTGGTGAACTGAATTTTTCCTCTTAATTTTGAGTGTCTTTTCTTCTTAAAATTTTCTGTTGTTAGAACTGAATACCACAGCCTGGGTTTTTTACAAAAAATAGGGGTTTAGCTGAGTGTGGTGGTACATACCTGTAATTCCAGTGACTCAGGAGGCTGAGGCAGGAGGATCACAAGTTCAAGGTCAGTCTCCACAACTTAGCAAAGCCCAAGCAATTTAGCAAGACCCTGTCTCAAAATTTAAAAATAAATAAATAAAATAAAAGAATAGAGGTTTATTTAGCTCACTGTTCTGGAGGCTTGGATGTCCAAGATGGGACAGTTGCATCTAGTGAGGGACTTCTTGCTGCATCAGCACATGGTGAGACAGCAAGTGTTTCACCTCTGGTCTCTCTTCCTCTTCTTATAAAGCCATTAATGCCATCATGGTGGACCCACCCTAAGGACATTGTCTAACTGTAATTACCTCCCAAAGCCTCACCTCCAGCTACTCTAACTGTAGCCAACATGTAAATTTGAGGATAAAGTTTCCAACCCATGAACTTTTGGGGGACATGTTCCAACCATAGCAGCTGCTATGAGCAAATCTATACACTGTCTCCCACTTCAAGTCCTGTAAATATATGCTGGATAATTTAACTGACTGCCAGAATCAGCTCTCCACCAGGCTAAAAACCCTGGTCTCCTAACAATTTTTGAAACATGAAAGTATAAAGAAGTATCTGAATCCTTGTTCCCCTTTTCTATATCAACTCTGGTTGACATCTTCTTGGAATCTATACATGTTCAGGCCCTTGCAGTGTTTGGAGGAGCCATGAGGTACCTTCTCATGGACTCTGACTGTTCTTGGAGCAGACTGATATTTCCTCACTGCTGTGTAAACAGTGCCAGGGTGCTGAGCACACAGCTCCCCATGAACCCCAGATCTTTGGCAGTGAACTATATTCAAGTTAGATAAGATACTCATAGACGTACCTACACACTCTCACAGATGTATTTATGCATACTCATGTGCAGGTACATTCACACAAGGGCACACACAGGCACACACTCAAGCACACTTACACACACTGGTATACTCTTACAATCGGCACACAGGCACATATAACTTGGGCACACTAACATTCCAGCATATGCATGTTCAGGCTCTCACATAGGCACACACCCAATGTGGTGGGATACACTGACATGTTGGATTTTTCTCATTGTATCTGATATCTGGTCCTCTCTGTGGACTCACGATCTAGCCAGGAATGTAGGGACTGGGGTTATGGGAGAAGCCCTCAGGCCTGGAGGAGGCCATTAACTGCAGCCACTGAAGTAAGAGCTTCAGAGGGCCTGGTGTTGGTGGTAGAGGTAAGCAGGTTGGTCTACCCCCCAGCCCTGTGGATGAAGAGACATCACTGTTTTCTCCTGTGAAGTGTACCTTCCAACCCTTAACACTGAATCTGGCTTCTTTCCCTTGAAATCTGGAAGGCCTCTTGTCAGTGTTCATATGTGTCCTCTTATAAGAAATTGGGTTTCATTCTAGTGTCAGTGTCCCACATGACAAAGCAGGATTAACTTTGACAGAGGTATCCCAAAGTTTCTACTCCTTCTACTCCTTGGAAGAAGCAGACATCAAGCTCAAGAGGAGAATTGGCAGTTTTGTAACTTTTGCAAACAGTTGAGGCTTTTGTGTTCTGTGCTCATAGTTTAAACTCCATGAGGAAATGAGTTATGGGCCTCACCTGGACCTGGACACCATTCTTCAGAGTCACAGTCTTGTCCTTCACATTATAGACAAGGGAGTTCACTCCTTCAACCTTCTTCCTCATCCACCATTTTCAGAGTCCTGCTCAGGGATATTTCTGACGAGCCATAAAAGATCAGGATGGTGGTATTAGAGTGAGGCACTCTGTTCCTCAAGGGAGAACCATAAAGACCAGGCCTCAGATACAGGATGCCCTCAGCCTCCCCCTTACAAGCTCCCAACACTGGGGCTGAAAAGGAATTGTCATGCCAGGTCTGGGAAGTTCACCACCACTTACCACATCTACGCTATGAAGAATGGCCACTCCACCATCCTGGCTAGCAGCACCTTGCTGGTTCTACTGTGGGTCTGCCATCTCAGGAAGCACATAAGTGTTGCAAAGCTAGAGCTGAGGGATATGGAGACCAGAGCTCCTGCCCGAAGCTGTAGCTCTCTAGTTAACATCCTGGGCTTAGCATTGATACCACTTGTATAATCCATATAGAAGGAATAATGTCAGAACTATAGAGAACAGCTAAACCAGACTAGAACTAGTTCAGGTTTTTTAATGTTTGGTATGAAATGTCTGGCTTTTGGTATCTCTGCTATATTTTGTTCTGTTTCCTTCCACTGCTATGTAATTGAACTGCTGACTTTCAAGGTATGGGTATCCCATCTTCAGCATTCACTCTGTAAAGTAAGCTGAACAGGCTTTTGTATGAATCTCATAATATAAATGTGACCTTCACTGGTATAAACTGATTATCAGTGTATTCTCAACATCGATCACTTTAAGATTAACAATCTGTTTTGAACACTGTCAGAATTTACAAATAAGCATTATCCCAGTAGACTCTCAAAATCAAATACATATTTCTTTCTTAAAGTAAAAACAAATTTGCCTGTTTCCTATTTTTATTGACATTGAAGATTTTCCCTTTTTTTTTTTCAAGGAAAACCAAAGATTAGAAGATAATGCTTGGTGACATCTATAAGAATTTCAGCATCTGGAAGTATAATTTGTGCAGTGTTAGAGGGGGAAAGAAAGTAAAATAGACAGCTATGCCTTTTATCTTTTGGGTTTTCTACTTTCCACTTGATGGTGTTTATTTTACTTTTTTTTTTTTGCGTTTTTTTAATTTCCAAATTGGTCCCTGGAGCAACAGAGAACATTGGGACAGAATAGGAGCTACCTGCTTTTCTGTGCACTTCCAAGTGCTCATACTTTACTGTGTTGTTGTTATTATTATTTTTTAAATATTTTATTAGTTGTTGGTAGGCCTTTATTTATTTTTATGTGGTGCTGAGAATCGAACCCAGTGCCTCACACATGGTAGGCAAGTGCTCTGCCACTGAGCCACAACCCCAGCCCTTATTATTATATTTTTAATGTATTGGGGATTGAATTCAGGTCTTGTGCATGTTATGCAAGTTCTCTACCACTTAACTACATCCCTGTCCAGCCCTATATTGTCTTCTCATAAGCAAACATTTTACTATTGCTGTGAATTTCTCATTCCTAATACAGTTTTAGGATCTTATCAGTTTTTTTGCTTAATTTAGTCCTGCTTTGGGACTCTCACCCTTTATATTTTTGTGTGTATGGTCAAGAGGGGAAATTTCGTGACTTTGTATCTTTCTAAAGATGGTTGTTCAATGTTTTAGTTTTAGTTTTCTGTTTTTCCTAAATATCATGATATGATGAATTTCAGTCTATTTGCTAGCAGTTGTGTGGAAACAATTTGAACAATGAACTGGAGTGAAGAGGGAATAAGAATAAATCATGATCTTATAAACTGCTTCAGATTTGTGAACAAGGCTGTATTTATCTATGCAAATTTGTATACATAAAAATCATGATGGATATAAAGAATTAAAGCCAATGGACCTTTGGGGAAATGCAGGCAAGTTAGAAAATAACACATGTATCAGATTGTTGTGCTTTTAGGAAAAAAAACTTCGTTGTATACATACCAGAAGTATATTTGAGATTTACAAAAGAAACCTGTTCTTTTTGCATTAAATTACTAAATATTGTGTTGTTAAAATGTCTCTTTGGTTAAATTTGATCACATGCCCAACTTACATTCAAGGTAGAGATGCAGGCTATGCCATGGATGGAAAGATCTGCAGTGTCACATCACAAGGGTGTGGGAAAATGTGTGTCTGTCTATGGTTGTTGCAGGCAATTTATATCCTGATTATGTATGAAATCAATCTTATGTTTTTATAAGAAGCAAACAGTTTTTCTGATAAAAAACAAAGTGTTGAAAATGTATCTGTCACAAATGCATGAGAATCTACTGCACTTAGGAACTTGTGGTTGTGTCAAGTGACCTTGAGGACAAACTCCACAGTCTTTGGTCCTGTTGAAATGTTTCCGTTGACTATTGTCCTTCATCTTTCCCTGTGCATGCACATTTTATTATGACTGAATGTGGGAAACAGCAGTGTGTCTGTCTGTCCTTCTTTAGGTGTTTGCCCAGCTATTGTGAACACGGGGGTGAATGTTCCCAGTCCTGGGACACCTTCTCCTGCGACTGCACTCACACTGGCTACGTGGGAGCCACCTGCCATTCCTGTAAGCCACACAACCCACTGGCTCTCCTTTCTGTTCTTATATCCCATTCATTCTTTTGTGCATATGTGTTTGTGTCCATGCACCCATGTACCAGAAAACAGGAAGCAATAGTCTTTTACAGACTTGTTTTCAGCTGCTTTATTTTTGATCAATTTTATTTCCCATTGATGTCAAAGTAACTTTAAAAATTCATAGTATCAAATAGAAGAACATAGAGAGCAAAAAGGAAAAGAAAAGAACCAGCAAAGGGAAAATAAGTGTAGTAAAATAAAATATAGCAGGAGGTTAAAAATAAATAAACTGCACCCAGAACACACAATGTGAGCTTGGTGTGGTGGGACATGCCTATAATCCCAGCGGCTCAGGAGCAGAAACAGGAGGATTGTGAGTTCAAAGCCATCCTCATCAACAGCAAGGTGCTAAGCAACTTAGTGAGACCCTGTCTCTAAATAAAAAACAAAATAAGGCTGGGTATGTGGCTCAGTGGTTGAGTGCCCCTGCGTTAAATCTCTGGAACAAAGAAAAAGAAAAACAAACAATGTGATATCTTGTTCTGTTCCTTGATCTGGGTACACATATACTTCTCAGTTCTCAGTTCTTTCTTCTCTTCTAAAGAAAATGTGTGGCCAGGATGTCAATATAAAATTGAATGAGGAACACCTCAGAAGTACCAGACGAGGAGTAAATGTGGCAGTAGTTCTAGAAAATGAAGAGAAAATAGTGAACTTTCAGGTCCCACCCAGTCTTGCTGTTGTTTGATAGTGAAGGAGATGGAAAGAATTAATATCTGCAGAATTTATCAAATGCATGCACAGTTTTAGTCCTCTGCATGTTTTTACTCCTTGAATACTCAAAACAACCATAGGAGATAAGAGTTATTATCACCTACACTTAGCACTTGGGGGAGGAAGGAGGCTGAGGAGATTGACAGCAGACTTACAGCTCTAAGACTGGAGCCAGGACTGTCAAATACCACTCATCTCCTTCCTCAAGAATTATTCTCTGTCACACAGATATAAACACAGATTATTTGGTCACAGTCACAGAGTTAACACTGAGATGGTCCCTTTTACTTACAGCTTACCTAGTTTTCAAGCTAATAAAATCTTATTGACCACTAATCATTAGTTTCTAGAAGCATATGACAGAGCCCATGAAATACTCATGTTTTTCTAATTATTAGCTTTTGCTTCTATTTGTTTTAGATTTGTTTGTTTGCTGGTTGGTTGGTTGGTGTTTTAATTTGTGTGTCACTCCTGATATTTGGGGTCCTGTCTCCATAGCACTTCCCCTCTCCCTTGGTCTTTAGAGGAGGAGTATGACATTTCATGTCTGCTTCCTTCAGTCCCTCCTGATGGGGGGATACTAGCATTGTATTATAAAAAAAAAAAAAAAAAAACCCTTCCATGGCCCTGGTGCAGTAGTGCACACATGTGTAAAGCTGATGCAAGAACACTGCCAGTCCAAGGCCAGCCTTGGCAACTTAACAAGACTCTCAGCAACCTACTGAGATCCTGTCTCAAAATAAAGACTACAAAGGACTGGGGCTATAGCATAGTGGTAGAACACTTTCCTAGCATGTGCAAGGCCCTGGATTTAATACCCAGGACTGAGTGGGGATAAGAAAAAAAACAACTATTCCTTGTGAATTAATTTTATTCCGGTACAAACTATGAGGTGCATAATGCAGAGAATGGATTGTCATAAATCTAACTTTGCAGGAACTGAATCTCAGGGAACTAGTGTGGGTTTGGAATGAGACCCCTGGGTCTCCAGATGTGGGATTTCCACAGAGAAGCAAAAGAAGGTGACTCCTCCCCCCCTCTATATCCAGTGATCAGTTCCACTAGCATCTTCACTGAGTTTTACATTGGTAGGTAAGAATTTGCTAAGGAATGTCTCCTTTGAAAGGAGTTAGACATCTAATCTTGGGCTAGGGATTTGGTCACAGTCACAGAGTTAATTAACACTGAGATGGTCTCTTTTACTTACAGCTCCCTCATCACATTAGAAAAGTGTCTTAGACAAAGCAGATACCAACTAAATGTGTTTGTTATCAGTAGCTGAGATCTAAACATAATTCTAAGTACCACTGAGAAGAGAAACTTGACTGATAAATGTAAAGGGTCTTCTCCCTGTGGCACATGATTTAGTTTGTTAATGAATTGATTTTATTGTGATTCTCTAAGGATATATCAAAAGAAAGTTGGATATTGCCAAATCAAAACCAAGTGATCATAAAGCCACTATTTTTATGCGGAATAGAGGACAGGGATGGGGGTTCTAAGTTTAAAATTATTGCATATTTACATTCCCGTTTATATTATTTTGTTTCCTAATTATTCTTCCTCTTTTTTGTTCTTCTAGGCAGTTTGATATGTGTATGTATCACTGTGAGCTGTGTTCCTAGGTGGTTATTGGCATGTTTGTTTATTTATGGAAACGTGAATATTAGTGGCCCAAAGCCAAGAATGTTGAGAAAACAATTTATATTTTTTATATTTCCATCAGTTGGAGATGGTAATAGTTGGACTCTTGATTTGGTGGCCTCTGATTTAGACCCTTGACCATATTTAACAAAGAACATTTTCTTTTATAGTATCCTTGAACTAAGCAGACATTTCTTTTGCTTTTTATT